CCAAGAAAAGGAATTTTATAATCTGATTCGATCTCTGGGCCAACTTATGAACAATGTTGTGCCTCGTCTAGTCGGTCTCCTTAATCGTCAGTACTTAAAAGGCCCTAGCATTACCATCGAGAAATCTTCCTTTTCTTAAAGACAAACGCGTACATTAGTATCTCCAGTTAAGGTATTAAACAACCATACTGGAGGTACAAAGTCTCAATAAAAACTACCACCTGCCCTACAAGCAAAAGATGCAATCTCGTGAGCAGCTTTGTTATAACTGCAAGGTGCATATACAAAGGTTACTTCTTAGAATTCTTGAATCGCAGCCTGGATGTCGAAAAGAATACTATCCACCTCCACGTTCACAGTCCTCTCCTCCACCATATGAATGGCAACTTGGGAATCAAACTCAACCAGCACACTAGAGAAACCTCCGTGTTGGCAAGCTAACAGAACTGCACGTATGCAATCCATCTCCTCCACGAGAAACCTCCTTGTTGCTTTGCGGATTTCATTTTCTTTTCCTAAACTTAATTATTCTCAGTTTTTACCCAACTAGTGGGTTTTCGGGTTCATTGTTATGACTTTTCAGTTGGCAACTTACCGCATAAGTGTAAGGAGAATGACACATGTCATGAGAAAAATAGAGAAGGTCCAAAATAGAAGGTTAGTAGCATTTAAACTAAAAGGTGAAGCTTTATCAATCAATTTTTCCATTGCCTACAACCCAAGCGGAAATGCTAAAATGTAACCTATTTCTAAGGCTCTGGTTCAAAGGAAATCGGTTGGAAGTAACATATAATTTCGAAATAAGTGCATTTTTATGAACGCAATTTTTTTGTTGCAGGCACTAAGAGGATTGATATAAAAATGAGGAATAGGCTTGGAAACATGGACACCACACAACTTTGTAATGAGATTTCTTCATTTATCATGATGTACACCAATCAGTTTGGTGCCTTTGAAAATGACAAAGAGGCAGGGCCTCAAAAATACAAAAATATCAAGAGGAGAAAAACAAACAAAAAGAAGAAGATAAAATGCTCTCAAGAGCACATTAAAAGCCTACTAGATATTTCAACACACGGTTATTTGAACCAATAAAACATGATTACAGAACCGTTTCAAGTTCATGTAATGCAATAGAATTCACGCTTCCTTTCTCAAATCATTCACTTGGCACTGGCGAGCTGGGTGCGGAGGAGCTTGGCAGCAGCAACCATGTTACTGAGGGCTGGGTTCACTTCAGCGTACTTGCGAGTCTTGAGACCACAATCAGGGTTAACCCACAAGATGTTTGTCTCGAGCACTGCAAGCATCTTGTTGATCCGGTCTGCAATCTCTTCGGTTGATGGTATTCTTGGAGAGTGGATGTCGTAGACACCAGGGCCAATGCCAGCACCGTACTTCACTCCCTCGCGGAAGACTGAAAGGAGCTTCTCATCTGAACGAGAATTCTCAATGGTGATCACATCAGCATCCATGTCAATGATTGAGTGGATGATGTCGTTGAAGTTGGAATAGCACATGTGAGTGTGAATCTGTAGGTTTGTTTAAAAACAAAACCGGTTCAGAAAATAGAAGTAATTAAAAAGAACAGAGAAAACAAATGCTTACAATTAAAGAAAACAGAGAAGTGGAAAAAGACCTGAGTAGTGTCCTGCACACCACAGTTGGTGATCCTGAAGGAGTGGACAGCCCAATCCAAGTAGAAAGCTTGCTCAGACTTCCTTAGGGGCAACCCCTCTCTCAAAGCAGCCTCATCAATTTGAATAACATTGATACCAGCTTTCTCAAGATCCTCCACTTCATCCTTGATGGCCAAAGCAATCTGGTAGGTAGTCTCGAATCGGGGCTGGTCATTTCTAACAAAGGACCAGTTAAGAATGGTGACAGGGCCGGTAAGCATTCCCTTCATTGGGCGGGCAGTCATGCTCTGAGCAGCAGATGACCAGAACACGGTCATTGGGTTGGGACGGCTCACATCACCGTAGATGATCGGTGGCTTCACACATCGAGATCCATAAGATTGCACCCAGCCATTGACGGTAAAGGCAAAGCCTGATAATTGCTCTCCAAAGTACTCAACCATATCATTCCTCTGCCATGAGAAGATACAAATAATGAATTAGAGGGACGCATAAAAAGAAGAAATCTTAAAATAGATGAAAAATAAGACAGAATTTCCAGTTCTCTTTAATTGATAATAACTAAAAAGAATTAAGCAGTAGAATCTCTCTCTCTTCACTTTCTTGAAGCGACATTCATAAAGGAAATCTCACCTCGGGCTCCCCATGGACAAGGACATCAATGTCGAGCTCTTCCTGAAGCTTGACAACTTTGCTAATTTCCTCCTTAATGGCCTTGACATACTCCTCCTCAGAAATCCTGAGTACAGCACACATCAGCACAATTACTAATGCATTATTAATGAAATAGTTGTGATTCACATCTTTTATGAAAAATACAGAACAATTATTTTCACTCACTTCTTGGCCTTGTATTCACGACGGACCCTCCTGAGTTCAATGGTCTGAGGGAATGATCCAATGGTGGTAGTTGGGAGAATTGGAAGGTTAAGCTTCTTCTGTTGAGCATCAAGTCTAGCACTTACATTAGTAGCACGTCGGTGGTCAGAACCCTTCAACGCAGCAGCCTGCAAGGCAAAAGAAAAAGTCAATTCAAAGTACAAAACCATTTTAACAGCATGTCAATTGGAAAGGCTTATGAATTGAAAGTACTTACAGCCTTTTGAACAGCCTCATTGGTCACTCTTGGGGAGGACTTCCTTGAAGCCTGAGCTGTGGCATTAGCAGAGAAAAATGCCTGATGACAAAAACATGAAAGGTGAGTTATAATTAGGGATCAATACCACACAAACAGATAAACAAAACTCAAAAGAACCCTGAGAAACCAATGCTGAAGTGAACAATGTCAAACTCCAAAATGAGCAATACATATAATATTATACTGCCAACTCTTCTAACTTTATGATTATTATAAATAATTGTGCCTCCAAACTTAATTATATGCCAAAATGCACGAAATTTGTGCTTTATGAACAAATCTGATCACCCAAATGAAAAATAAGGTTTTACCTCATCCTTGTGACCAGCCAAGGCCTTGGCCAAAGCATTAACTTCAACAATTTTCTGGGCAGCAAAAGCGAGCCAAGATTTTATTTCCTGGTCCAGCTTGGTCTCGTTAACAAGATCAACAGCAGTGTGAAGAAGAGAGCAGGAGGTGGAGACAACAAGTTTATCTGCACAGGACAAACAAATAATTAATGAAATGCAACTTTAGAAACTAAATTATTTGACATTATCACTAAAAACTGCGGACAAGTTGAATACCTTTGCCAACAATGCCTTCAAGAGTCTGTAAAGTACTTAGGGAGGCAGAAAGATCATTAGCCCAAATGTTCCTTCCATCAACCAATCCGGCAAAGAGGTATTTTCCCTTAGGGAATTCACCCTTAATCAAATCAAGGGTCTTAGTACCACGAACTAAATCAAAACCATATGCAGTGACACCTTTCAAGGAAGTGAGGGTCTTGAATGCCTCAGCAGGAATATCAGCAAAGTAGGTCTCAATAAGAACATTCAAGCCAGATAGAGTTGATTCCAGGTGAGAGTAGGCATCAGTGAATGCTTGCAACTTGTGAGAATCAAGATCCATAACAAGCGTGGGCTCATCAAACTGAATCCATGAAGCTCCAGCAGCCTTAAGCTCAGATATAACTTCCCTAAACAGATATTCATAGTTGGAATAATTAGTTGGATACTCAAAATTATCAGAAGCAAGACAAAGTGTATATCTGATATACAAAGAGTATCTTACTTGTAGATTGGAATGATTTTTCCAAGAAGAGAGAGAAGAGAAAAGGACTTCTCAACACCCTTTGCTGGTTTCGAAAGCAACAAGTATGACACAGGACCAACAAGGACTGGAATGGTGTCCACTCCAAGCTGCATAAGAAAGATTGGATTAAGTTTTCACCATAATTAACGTGGTAAACAGACTAGGATTTCCCTTCAGATATGCATGTGTTTGTGTTTACTTGTGTGCCTCTCTGCCTATGTGTGCAGACATATATACAGAACAAATGATATAGAGAATAGAGAATGAACATATCATATATACATACCGCCTTAGCCTCCTTGTATTCCTCGACGGCCTTGTGAGAAGCATAGGAGAAGTTGACATCAGGTCCCAACTCAGGGACAATGAAATGGCTGGATTAGTACATTAATTAAGTTAGTATAAACCATACGAATGCATAATAATATGTTGATACTTTTAATAAACATAATGCTGAGAGAGGGATTACGTACTAGTTGGTATCAAACCACTTGGTCATCTCCATAGCAGGAACTGAGGCATTTCCTCTGGCCATGGAGAAGTATGTGTCAAATCCAATCTCACCACCATTCCATCCATATCTTGGTGGAACAGCCCCGAGCAATGCAGTGGTGTCAAGCACCTGATCGTAGTATGAGAAAGTGTTGCTGGGGATGTGCTTGATCCCAGTATCCGCCATCTGCTTCCAGATGGAAGATCTCAGATCAGCTGCCACCTTCTGCAAATCTTCGGCACTGCTCTTCCCATCCCAGAAAGATTCCAAAGCAAACTTGAGCTCTCTCTTGGGGCCCATACGAGGGTATCCAACAATGTGAGACGCCATTTCTCTGTTTGATCAGATCAACAACCAACACAACTTAGCTGACTTAACAACTAGAAAAAGAAACATTTTCACGATAAGTTTAAGAAAAGTTTAAGTTACATCATGTCAACCATTCAAAACACCCCGACAGAGACAATTATTATGTAAGCATTTTTTTGCTTCAAGAAAAGAGTTGATTGAAACCAAGAACAACAAAAGTTTATACCCTCCGAAAATTTCAAATGACAACAGATTCACAATAGAGCTTCCTTAGTTATGATTATTATGTAACTAAATAATATCAGAATTGATTTAAAAGAATCAAAATAAATAAATTTTATGAAACGTCTCTGTTATCTTCATGTGGAAATGAAAGAAAAAGTATTGATACTGAGACATCCTGAAGAACTACATAGATGCTTGAATTATAAACACTCAATCAAATCCAACCAGAGAACCTACAACCTTATATAGCAGAACTTTGTGCTTATGGATCTAATGTTTAAAGCAAGGAATCTCATCCTGAAATCGTAGTATAGCAGAGAAACGGTTGAAAGAGAAATAGTCTCACTTATAGATCTAATGCTCTACATGCAGGGAATTTATCTGAACCACTTAAGAAAATCAAATTTTTATTTGACCTTATCTTTAAGAAAATCATAACAGCCAAAAAGAAACCCACTTGACTCAGAGATCTACAGCAAAACCCAAAAACAGATCTACAAATACCAAAACCATAACATACTCAGATCTGCAACCCAATATGCCCAACAACCAAAATCCCAATGCCACCAAATGTTCATTCAATTAAACCAAAAGGGTATCCGAAAAATCCAAAATTTTCGCAAAATCCAACACAGAATCGCAGAAGTGGACACTAACCAGTGTAGATCTCAGCGTAAAACCAAAAAATAAAATCAATTTTTTTACAAATGGTAGACAAAAGAGTGAAAGGTAAGCTCTAGATCACGTTGGCATGGCAAAAGGGTTGGAAATGATGAGAGAAATAAAACAGCAATACACAGGGGTCTGAGAGAGAAGCCTAAAAGAAGAGAGAGATAATAATAGGAGGAACGGAACCAGAAAATGGAGGGAGGGTCTTCGTACCTTTCGGAGGTAAAGAAGACTTGACTGGTTCTTTCTTCTTCTTCTTCGCTTGGTTCAGTTACTAGCGTAGAAGAGAGAGGAGCGAGTTCGAATGGCTCACTCTCGCCTTATTTATAGCCAAATGCACTTGCGTGGCTTTCTGCTTAGATCTGGGATTCTACCCCTGGCTTTGCCCACTCTTTCCCACGCTCATTAATTTTTTCTTTTTTCAGTTTTTTCTTTTTATTTTTTTCCGGACTTTTTTTTAATTTTATTGACACTGAAAACGTGGTTTTGTTTTTTTAACTAATTTGGAGACGACGCGCTTGTTTTGGTGGTTAGTGTGGTGGGTTTTGGGCGATGCGGTAGGTGAATGCCTTTGGTGGGTCCCACCCCTACATGCCTTGGGGAGTTGGTGGGGTTGGAAACCGGAGAGGATTGGACTATAGGGAGAGAGGAGTAATATACGTAGATTCTTATCTGCAGCCGTTTCTTTGAATGAATTCCATTTTCTGATCTTGCTTTTAAATTTTATTTGTTTGTTTCAAACGGATTGATTTTCATAGCGAAAAATCAAAACTAAATACAAATTTTTTTAATTAAATGTGTTTATGCTGTAAATTGGAATGTTAATTTGCGAATAAAACCAAATGGTGGGGTTAATTTGCTGAAGGCCAATCATCTAGGATGTTTAAGGCTCCATTTCGATGGAGAGATTTCAAATCTATGAATTTAGAAGACATTATAATTAAGGTAAAAAAGATGATGAACCTCCCAACAATGTGTATAGACTATTATAATTCATGTATGTTCAAATTTCGACAAGAAAGAAAAGAAGAAAACAAATGAATTTCAAATGTACAACATCTAGTTATTTCAAATACATTCATTCTGATGTGGTTGTTGTTTTTAGAGATATTTATTCAAAAACTCATTTTAACATGATATATTATATAAAAATCCATATAGAGCCTATTTGGAAAGAACAACCCAAAAACTAGCCATTTGTCATTTTCTAATTAGTACTAGTGTGTTAAAATTTTATAGGACCCAATTAGAAAATGACAAATGGCTAGTTTTTTATTTTTCTCTCCAAATAGGTTCTATAATGGTTTTTGTATAATATGTTATGTTAAAATAGACCTATTTGTGAAAAGTCCTTGTTTTTATTGCAAATTTAGCTTTGTTGTCAATTCCAAATCCCTTCTTTCAAATCCTTTCATCCAAACGGAGTCTGAAAGTTCTCCAAATAATTTAACAAGAATACTACTCCAACACCAATTTTTGGAAAACAACTTATGTGTGCTGAAGGCCAATTTTTGGAAAACAACTTATATACCTTGACATACATAATGTTATCGAGAGAAAAAATTAAGTTGAATCATGATCCAATTAAATGTATGTGTGATGTGTGGGAAAAAATAAAAAGGAATGACTATAATGTGTCAAAAAAATTTGGAGAGGTGAGAGAATTGAATTATGTACCATGTTGCCCTTCCAACTGGACACGTAGTATTGGAGTGGAACCAAGGTATTAAATAGCGATATTATCTCGATAATATCTGATTTTTGGGGGGCCGATATTTTAGCAACTAACCATGGTGTTATCGTCAATATATCGATATTATCCCGGGGAGATAACTTCAACATTTTTATGAATGATTTGGGCAATATATCGAGATATTATTGATAATATCTCGATACGAAACCCAAAAAATACATGATTTTTTTTTTTTGAAAAGCCTCCCCTGTTGCGCATAGAGGGATTCGAACCCCTTCCATTTTACTCCTTCAACACCTTAACCACCATATCACTTATGTTTTTGTGAAAATATGCTAAAATATTTATATATATACATGGTTTTGTTTTGAATTCTTTTTGCAAGAAACAAATTTTCACATGAGATGAGAATGAATCTTTGACCATTCCTTTTCAAGTTTCTACTTTTGAACACCAAGGGGATTCGAACCCCTCCATATGGATGGCATGTTAACAATTACATGCAAAAATATTTTGGGGATTTATCATTTGATGACTACTCTTCACAATATACTTACTCTACACATAGAGATGATGAAGATAGTGAAAATTTTGAA